GACGCTGGGCCCAAAGGCTGAGAGTGAGCAAAAGACCCCTGGCGGGGACTGGCAGTGGGGAAGGGACTGAATAGGAAGTGGCCCAGGGCAGGGTCGTGGAGCCCGTGAACGGGTGTGTTTAGGGGCACTTCCCCCATCCGCTAGGCGGGGACAGGCCGTCCCTGCCTTCAGGGCCCTCGGCCAGGGTTTGGAGGGAGGGCGGGCCCAAATCCCCCTACTCCGCCCGGCAGGGCGAGTCGCTTTCGTGGTGGTGGCAGTCTAGGTTATAATCGGAACTATAGCGATTTGTGATCAAGGGGCTGAGGCCCGGATTTACAGTGGGGAGAGGAGACAGAATAACTGGTGGGGACAGAATAAATATATATTCTGAGAACTCACTTCTGGCAGGAGTAATATGAGTCCTTTACAAGCACACAATGGCCTCTTGCCTAAGAAGGACATACCTAGGTCCGCTGTGGTTCCTTGACTGAAAAAGACTTGGTGATCATGTGATCAGCTCTATTTTGATAGGTACCATCACTCAGGAGAACAATGGATTTCCCTCCATATGGGCAAGATTATAAAAGGTTCCTGAGGGTTTCTCCATCTTTGTCTTCATTCCTGCCCTCCTCTCCAGAAGCAACTATAGACAAAGGGCCCGGAAGGATCTATTGACACATCCTAACATAGGATGTACTCCAGAGACTTTTAAGCCAGCAGTTTGTTACATCTCTGCTATGATCCTGCATCAAAAACTTGGTGATTATTGTATGTAATGTGCGTCCTTTAACAATTCTACTCTCAACCTTTTCTTTCTGTTTATTAATAAACCTTTAGATTTTAGATTCTAAAGAACTGGCACAGTGGGTAAGATCTGAGGTATAAATTGACCTGGGAATGTGACTGGTCGTTTGCAATCTTTAAAACCTGTTTGGAGTTGGTGAGACTTCTTGCTGGCCAGAGTAGCAGCTGAAGTGCTCTGTGAGACTGGTTTGGTGCCTTACAGAAGAGGACCCCAGTCTTTGGCTGTGAGCAGCCCTGGATCTAAGCAGTTCGTCCTGATTGGACCCTCACAGCAGTGCTCCCAAACTTCCTGTTACATTACACTTTATATTATGGAATCTACTATATATTTGAGAATTTGTCTATCGTGTTTGTGTGTCTGTCTGTTTGTTCAAGAACTTTTCCTAACCAGTAAGGCTGTGTCTAGATTGGCATGATTTTCCGGAAATGCTTTTAACGGAAAAGTTTTCCGTTAAAAGCATTTTCAGAAAAGAGCGTCTAGATTGGCACGGACGCTTTTTTTCGCAAAAAGCTCAATTTGTGGAAAAAAATTGGCACGATCATATACACCAAAGTGATACAATCAAAAAAAGTGAACACACATATATATATTGTATTGTATCAGTTTGGTATATATGGTCATGCCAATTTTCTTCCACAAATTGATCTGAGGAAGTGGGTTTGGCCCACGAAAGCTTATCACCTAATAAACCATCTTGTTAGTCTTTAAAGTGCTATATAGTTCTGTCTTTTGTTTTAGCTAGACCAGACTAACACGGCTGTATCTCTACCCCTGTAAGTAGAAGCAGAGAGCTGCAGATGACACTAAGCTAGGGGGAGAGGTAGATACGCTTAAGGGCAGAGATAGGGTCCAGAGTGACTTAGACAAATTGGAGGATTGGGCCACTAGAAATCTCATGAGATTCAACAAAGACAAGTGTAGAGTCCTGCACTTGGGACGGAAGAATCCCAAGCATAGTTACAGGCTGGGGACCAACCGGTTAAGTAGTAGTTCTGCAGAAAAGGACCTGGGGGTTACAGTGGATGAGAAGCTAGATATGAGTCAACAGTGTGCCCTTGTAGCCAAGAAGGCTAATGGCATATTAGGATGCATTAAGAGGAGCATTGCCAGCAGATCCAGAGATGTCATTATTCCCCTTTATTCGGCTTTGGTGAGGCCACATCTGGAGTACTGTGTCCAGTTCTGGGCCCCCCACTACAAAAAGGATGCGGACGCATTGGAGAGGGTCCAGCGGAGGGCAACCAAAATGATTAGGGGTCTGGAGCATATGACCTACGAGGAGAGGCTGAGGGACTTGGGTCTGTTTAGTCTGCAGAAGCGAAGAGTGAGGGGGGACTTGATAGCAGCCTTCAACTTCCTGAAGGGAGGTTCCAAAGAGGATGGAGAGAGGCTGTTCTCAGTAGTGACAGATGGCAGAACAAGGAGCAATGGTCTCAAGTTGTGGTGGGAGAGGTCCAGATTGGATATTAGGAAAAACTATT